TCCCGCTGCGTGCGAATGAATGTTGTGGTGGTGGTGGTGGTGGTGGTTTTTGTCGTGGTCGTCGACGACGTCGTCGTCGTGGACAGTGTTTGTTGTATCTTTTGCTACCAATCACTGTATTTGTGCTTACCTCGGCCTATGGGTCTGGGCTGGTCCACCTGGCCCGAGGTCAACCTCTATCCGTTTGGCGGCCTCGCGCAGACCCTTACCATGGCTGAGGCGCTGAGGCAGCTTCTCTTGGGGCCGCCTTGTCACTTCGTCCGCTCTGAGACGTGACGTTCGCGACATTCTGTAGCAGGTCGGGTCGGTGGTCGAGTCCTCGAACTCCACACTCATGAAGGTCCCGTGAGGAGGGTTTTTCCATTGCGGAGCAGCTCCTAAAACATCGGGAGAGCGCATCCCCCCTTCTGACACTGCGTCCAGCTATTCTGACTGAGCACGATCGCCGAGAAAGCCGGCCCGTGGACGATCGCAGAACGGAAAGGAAGACAGACTGTTTCCTTGGAGCGGCTGTGACGGCTGGAATGCTAAATATGCTAATTAGTTGAGAGTGGTGCACCTGTGCCAGCTCGTGAGTCCGACATCATGGCCCACTGTCGCAAAGAGCAGGCTGCTGTGTTTTGTCTGGCTCAAGCCCAATTCTCCTGCCTACCTTGTGGCTAGGGGCATTAGACCAAGGTTGTTGGTTTGGGTTGGTGAAGCCAGTCCAGAGCATGAATTGCATATGACACTGCCATGGCCTGCGAGCGGCAGGCTGTGGGAGAGCGAAACATTCGCAACTAGTTTACAGTCCGCACATGTGAACTCGCACCAGTTCATATTGCGCTTGAGATATCTTTCCAAATCCATGCCGGCAGGGTATCATAAACCTGATGAAGCCACGATTCCAACCCTTTGTCCAACTGCACCGTGCTCCGAGCTCAGGAGCACATAACAACACTGAGGCAAATGAAGGTCCTTCCAAGTCTGATTCAGACCAAGCCCTCAAGCAAATGTGCATGATCGGAAAGAACGGAAAGTTTCAAACACATACAGGCGAAGACGCCGGAACCTGGGCCGTTGCGGATGCTTCCGCATGTCTTGAATCGTAGCTCCTATACACAGACGCCTTTACTGAGCTGTAGACCTTGCATGTGCTTACCAGGCAGCGTCCTATGCGGCAGCCCTCTGCCGTATCGTCTGGTATCTTGGAGGATGCAGGGTCTGGGCTGGCGATGGTGACGATGATGATGATGATGATGATGATCTGATGATGATGATGATGACAAGGATGATGCATGGCATGATGATGAGGTTGCTGATGTTTGTTATCTGCAATCGTAGACACTGCAGCTGGAGTTGAAGTGGGGTGCTAATGGCAGTCCGACCGCATTGCTGCCACTATCTGCGACGATTGGCCTCATCGGGTCATACCTCCAACCAACAACTTTCTGATCAGGTAGCACTGGGTGGCACCTACGCCTTTGTCTCTGGGTTTGTGTACTCGTTGGGGTGGAGCGCATTCGCACGCAAAACTGTACGGAGTTAGCGCATGGCGCCAAGCTTCGCCCAGTCCGACGAGGGTCCGTGCATGTTCAATTACCACTTTTCATAGACCTGAAGCCTCCAAAGCTCCCTTGTCCTCAGGACCCTAAGGTCCCAAAGCGGCACCTCAACACATCCTAATTATTCCAAGAACTGAAAGTAGGTAGTAAGTTAAACCTGCCCATGCCTGAAGTGCGCGCTGATTCGCAGGAGGATGCCACGACCATCATGCTCCGATCATTGCCGGCCTCCACAAGTGTTCGTTCGCTCCTGCATGTGCTGGAACCACTAGGGCGAGCTGTGTACGACTTCGTCTACCTCCCAAGGCCTGTGCTCACCTTTCCGACCTTCCTGATGGTTGGAATGCTGCAGATGGGCTGTAGTAGTAGTAGGAGTAGGAGTAGGAGTAGGAGTAGGAGTAGGAGTAGCAGTAGCAGTAGCAGTAGCAGTAGCAGTAGCAGTAGCAGTAGCAGTAGCAGTAGCAGTAGCAGTAGCAGCAGTAGTAATAGTAATAGT